AGTAAAAAGCAACCCCAGAATTCCAGAAATTCACTACACTCAATCGATAGAAATTTTTTCTATGATCATTTTCTTAGATTACACTTCCGTCGCAAATTGATAATAAGGAACTCTGGGTTATTACATAGCGTCTGGGGTTTCGGGGCCGAAGCCCCCGCCTAGGACCATCGTGGGTCCGGGGGCGGAACCCCCGGCTAGGGGGTTATGGAAGGTTTTAGTTTGGTTATATTGTGTAAGTTAGCAAGCACAAAGTACCGTGAATTCAGAACACTCAATCGATTGAGCTACTTTTTTTTTTTCGTAAATAACAGAATTTCTGTTGCGTAATGTGTTCTGATGTTTTCTTGTTGCGATTCGGATAATTTTGGAATTCACTTCTACCACAAATCACTCGTTTTGGCTCTTCCCCACCCAGAACCTTGACTTCCCACGCTTTCCCCCATTATTGTTAGAGGGGGGGGGGAGGCTAAATCCAAAAAAAAGAGTGATTTCCGATAAAAACGAATGTCAGATTTGAACCAATCGCATCAAAAAACACCAGAAAAACGCTGTTTTTTTTTCTCAGAATCTTTGGTTGCTGTAATCTGCAATTTTATCATTATGCATAATAACTGAATTAAGATAAATGGGGGTAAGATCGGGCAAGTGCAATTCACAGAGTTTGGGCATTACTGGAAGCGACGGTATAAGGCTCAGTCACGCTGGGAGATATCAAACAGGTGTCGTTAAATTTGTGCACCTTCTCGTCACCTTGTCAAGCGCTGAAGATGTTTGAGCAAGGATAGTCAGAACTAATGGAGGTTATGTCATAGGAAAAAGACTGTGGCAGGGAGTTTTACAGAGTCCTGGTCAGGGGTTTCCATGAATTTTTGCAAGTGAAGGTTCGACAAAGTGTAATTTCAACAGAAAACAGGACGGGACCTTTCCGATGTCTCGTAGACAGATTGAAGACGTGTGATGGTGGCACTAGTGAGTATCTCGTCAGAACATGCTATGGAAATGTTTATACTTTTACTTGACTTTTATCCTCTTCACCACTGAGCAGCTCGTTAACCGCTTGGGCGATCAGTCACGTCTCTGTTACGCACTGTAGGCAAGTACTGGGCATGCACCGGCTCCTGAATGTACCTGAACCTGCTCCAGTGTTGGTCAAGTTTTGTCTTCAAAGCGTTGGGATAGCCCTATACACTTGAAATTTTTCTGGTAAGCGTATTATCGTTAATGGTTTTGAGGACTTTCTGCACAAAATCGAGGCGCAACACCACACCAAGCCCACTGATGATTTTAATTATTTCATGAAAGCGGCACATGACTTCCATAAACAGCGGCTATCTGTTTATTAGTGAAGGAAGTTTGGATCTCAACGTACAGTACAGTAGGTCTAAACCCAAAATAAAGTACACAACCAGACACAAGACAGACAGATAAAATAGACAGCTTAGGTAAAGATACATAGAAACAGAATGTATTATGTAGTAGTCTGGCCATAACATAAATAGAAAACGAGTTATTGAAGGAGAGAAAATGCAGCTTTAAGAGAGTAACTATTATATTTATCCTCTCTTCACAGTTAGTCTATTCTTTATCTTATTTATACTAATATCTACAAATTATGTCACCATCTGTTTTACTTTATACCGCTCTAGATAGTTTTTGATAATATTCATAATAAAAGAGGCTATACTTAATGACGTTTACCCGCTTAAACCACCAATTAATTACAGTAGTAAGACCTACGCTGACACTGCAAGGGCGGATCTAGTGGGGGTCCTGGGAGTCAAGGCCCCCTTTTTTCATCAGAAAATTCCAATACTTTTTATTTAATGCAGTATTGTACTCAGGCGTTTTTGTATAGTAAACAGTAATTACTATTGACCTCAGAATATCTCCTTATACCAAGTAAACATGGCTTCAAAATGCTATGATATTGGTCAGATTTCAAAATATTTTCTGGAGGGGGGGGGGGGGGGCCCACCCCCTAATCCCCAGCTGGGTTATTAATATTATTATTATTATTTATTGGGCACTCCCCTACATCCTTGTGTAAGGTGAAGCGCAGAAGCGTTTACAGCGCCCAACAGGGAAGCATGCTAAGTTCATGCTTGCCTTTATGTTTTGTTACGAGTTGGGGATTTAGATATAGTTAAAAGTCTACCCAGATCCCAACAGGCAACAACAATGAAAATACTAAGACAATCGGACTATAAAAGGGTAGACAAAGGATGCGAGTTTTTGTTGTGTATAATAAAGTACCATAAATTCCTAAACTAAATATTCAGTTTTGTTTAACAGTTATCCCAACAACAACTAAGATCCCAACAGGCAACAACAATGAAAATACTAAGACAATCGGACTATAAAAGGGTAGACAAAGGATGCGAGTTTTTGTTGTGTATAATAAAGTACCATAAATTCCTAAACTAAATATTCAGCTTTCTATAATTTACCCTTAACCATAATTAACCTAAACATTAACAGTATATACATATTTATACAACATACAATAATTTGAAGCAAGTGGACGTGGGGGAGACAATATAAGATTACAAATACTTGAGTGCGGAGCTGAGATGGCTGAAAAGTAAGGCTGAGTATTGTAGAAGACGGTAGGTAGTCACTGCCCGTAGGTTTCCAGGATAGGTGATCCTGTGGTCACTTCCCAGAGTGACGTCCTCTCTCCTCGAATTGGAGCTGACAAAGAAGACTTTGAGGAGGTGACGCAACAACCAGGATATGGAGAAGGGAAACCCCGGAGTGGTAACTAAGACGAGTCATACTCGTGTTTCGTCCCTAGATGGCGTTGCTCGTGGTGCTGGGTAGGTAGATCATGACAATTGGTGGCGGGGTTCGTAACAATATATTTTCAATTTGCATCTGCCTGGTGTGGACCGTGTGGCTGCTAGCAATATGACTTACTTCCTTGCTGTTATTCAGTTTATAAGTGATAGGTAATTATGTACAGTAAAAATACCATCGAGATGTTCTCACCAAATCCAAATTCGTCTACATGAAAAAGGAATATAATTAAAATTTTCCTTGGAGAGCAAGCCAGGTCTTGGGAGGGGCAAGCCAGGTCTTGGCGGAGGCGAGTGCCCCCCCAGCCCCTACCCCCAAATGACGCCCCTGATTACTTGCAATGAGAACTGTACTGTTTTAGAAAAAATGACTGTTTACATTTAAATAGTGACACTAGCCGCCCAAAGATGGCGTTGGTGGCTCATCTTTTATTCTTTTAATTTTCCTAATTCTCCGTGAAAAAAAGAGAATAAAAAATCTCCCATTGACACTTTCCGATGAAACCACCATACTCCTTTTAACAATAATCATATTTCCCGCAATTTTCCCCAAAATTGCCAGTTCCTTTGATTTTCCCCTAAATCCACTCAAATTTCCCGGTCAAGGAACTTTTCCCCCAAAAGTGGAGCTCTGGACTGAACCGTCTCGGAGGAGGAGCTTCATACAGTGTTTTCAACTTGTCATAATATTACAAAAATAATTAGGCCTCTTTGTAGGTTATGTATATAAGCTACTGTGCCAAGTAGCTTATATACATAACCTACACTCTTGTTTGTGAAAATTTAATTAAGGTATGGAGTTTAGTATATTTAATCAACATTATCAATCGATTATGGAAATACGAATATAAATTACCAAAATACTTAAACATTGCCAAAAATTAGACGAATGATCAAATTAGCCTTGTTAACAGAGAAGGGCGGGGGGGGGGGGCTCACACTACACAGCGGGATTCGGGAAGTTGAGGATTTAATTACCTTTATTGACACAGTTCCAATATAAACGAAAGGTTGATTGGTTGGTGATACGGAGAGAAGAGGGTGCAAGAAGGGTACAGTACAAGGTAAACAAAAGGTTTATACCATATGCCTCTCTCACATGATCTGAAATTGTCTTTTCTTTAGTTTGATGGACAGAAATGTGATTAAAGTGTGTGCTAGGCTTTGAAGGTTGCTAAGTGCATTTGGAGAGAGAAATTTTTTCTTAGACAAATTCCAGCAATTATAAACTACATGACCCTTATTATAATAAACAGAACAAGTGACCGCAATAATGGATCAACGATTAATTAAATTATCGGCCAGTTTCGGTGTTGTTACTTTATTCTCCTGTTTTTTTATGGGGTTAGCCCACCCAGGGAAAGGTCAGCGACCCACATCGGGACCTGGCGAGAGGGTGAAAAAACCCTAAATACATCAGGTAAATAAAAAAAAAAGATCAATAGTGAGAAACGATATACCGTATGTATGTTGTGTTGTCAAAGTAAGAGAAACAATTGAGACCCTGCAATTGTGTGTAAACGTGGCAGAAAAACAAATCAGAAACCTGGGAGGACATCACTATACAGTAGCTCACAGTCACCCAAACAGATTACAATGTGAAGTGATTTTTGCTATGTTTTTTGTGACTGTAGTGCTTGTCTTGTCAGCACAAGAGCAGCAGCACTCATAAGTCATATGAATACCCAGATGTGTATGTATACACTCCTGTGCACATCTAGGCACTAATTTAGGCTCACTGATAATCACACAGGGACCGAGTTGTACACTCGCAACAAAAAGTATCGGTACATACTGTAGTGTGAACAATTTGAGACCAGTAACGATAGGTATTGGGAAAGGCGAGTTGTTCCAGCCGTATGTTGGCAGCCCTGATTGTCAGCCATATGGCAACACCTAGTGGAGGGGGGGGTTATGAGGATACACTTACCAACCTTCCCGACATATCAGTGTATACGTATCGTTTCGGCACTCGTCGATCTCACCCTGCACCGATACTTTTTGGTGCGAGAGTACACTTACTCTCACTTACGTATGCAGACACTCAAGTATTCCCGAGTTACTGAGGTATGTACAGGTACTGCATATAGAAAGTATAATGAACACAGACTTGAACACTCTCAAAATATCAGAAAAATGTTAGTGGCTGTAAATCTCTCAGTAACGATAAAAAATAACACTCACAGGGAAATAAAACTCACAGGATATCAGAAAACAATTTTTATTCATATATCGTATGTACAAACCCTTAACCATAAAGCCATTCTCGTATGTTACAGTCATTATGAACATTCTGCAAGAGCAATATAAACGCATTTGTATTCTACAAACTTACAATAACGAAAAAGGCATAAACTACAATATACAACAATCAAAATAAATACAAAAATGTACAGTGTTTGAGCGATGAAGGTCGCTCATTACAAAGTGTCGTTCTGTTTCTCTGACACTTACTATACAAAACTAAAAATACTGAAAAACAAGAGCTGCAGGATGCCATAGTTTCTACAGCCAAACATGTGTCATGTATAGACACCTGCACCACATACCTGTAGTATATGCAGGACATGTGCGTACTGTATATACACATATAGGTGGGTTTCTTTCTGTTTTACCTGATAGAAAACTGTACCTCAAGTACAGTCCTCACACAATCAGTCAGACAGCATCAGTCCAGTTCCATCTCGTCTGAATCCATGAAATACATCAGAACCGTAATCTTAGTATCTATAACTCCCATTCTGTCAAGTTCGTGTATAACCATCAGGCGTTACAGCACAATGGAGATGAAAAATAAAACTAACGTATCTAAATACTGCAAAGTAGTCACACACAGTTACAGAAAAAAAATTGGTAAAGCTTATTGTCCGTGGCACAGCAGTTAATGCACTGGCCAGCAGCTGCCAGTGTAGGGAGAGTCATTGGTGTCCAGGCGACTGAGAGCGCCCTAGACTGCTACAGTGCAAAGCACCTTCGAGAAAATACTTCAGGCATCCATGATTTCACTAGGAGTCAAATCTTCAAGGAACTTAACTATCAGGATTTTATTTATTGTTGTAGAGTTCAAGGATATTCCATAAAAGAAAAATAATTATAATCATTTGGAATAAACCCGTAGAAAGATTTAAAGGATTTCACCCGGTATATTTAGGAGTATTGTGTGGTTATTTGATTCAACTGACAGTATATGGCAACATATACGTACAGTATATTTACACATAATTAGGTATATGTGACGTATTTGACAAATGATAATGGAGATCAATAATAAAAAAATACAATACGTAATCTAAAACTTATCAGTCGACGATGCAGCTTGTGTCAACCTGCAAATATATATAATATTTATATATACTGTATATATATATTTATAGCCTCAGGATATTGTAGAAAGACATAGTTTAAATACAAATCAAGCCATTCAGACACAGGAAGCAATTTACCTCATTAAGATAAGACACACTGAAAAGTCAACACGGGACCATTGTCAAACTGATCTGCTAATTGCTGTTGAAATTGGCTGGACAGAAACTTGAGACAGGTATGATTGCTTGCATCTTGTAAGACATGATTTGGTTATATTTCCAGAAGCATCGGTAAACGCCACAAGACCCTCCATATTGACCACGTCAGCAGGTGTAGTAAGCCATGGAAGACGTATTTGGCACTTCAATCAGGCTCTAGTTACTCTTGAGGGGACTTAATGCTAGTGCCGCGATGGGTCAGTGTGCTGTTGGGAGGAGGGAGTGGGGTGAGAGTGCAGGGCTGGGGGAAGGAGGGGGTGGGTGAGAGGGCAGGACAGGGCTGGGGAAGAAGGGAGTGGGGTGAGAGGGCAGGGCTGGGGGAGGAGGCGCTGTGGCTTTTGTAACACACACACACACACACACACTCGCAGGTTTCTCGTGTTCCTTTATCATCAACACTTTCAGTATCAGGTATCCACATCACAAGTGCATAGTTCAGGTTATAAGTTCATTAGTTTAATTCTTTGTGACGCATGGGGAGTACTTCACACAGGAGTTCACTCTGGTATAATTACGCAAATATTGTCTGTACACAGTTACTCCATCACTCATTAACAGAAAATTAAGTTCATGAGATTTTTTAATATACGTTTAATATACAATAAATGAGCTATGAAAATGTTAATGAGTGTGTGAGTTGATCTTCTTTGAGAGGGTGTGGCACTGCCCAACAATACTGGTGCGGCGAGGCCCTGTGTTGGCACTCTCTCGAGTAGAGGGCCACCAGGGCCGCGAGGTAGACAGCTCTGCAGCCAGGAAAATAAAGCGCGGGGCCAAGGCAGGACCCTGAAGCCCGACCCCGCAGAGCACTACTCTGTCACTACTAAGCGCACTTGGCTGCTGCATAGCTGGAGTGGACTGGTGTTTGACGCCATCACGAAATAATGCAATTTTTATCCTTTTCCACAAATCTCTTCCGTGTGGATGGAGATCCCGGGGTTGTTTGAGATGTCCCAGCCTGGCGTCTAGCATATGCCAGGGCATCATTAGGCACATAACTTATACGAACACCACCGTAAGCCCTTCTGGGTGGCAGCTCATAGTCGAATTCATCGGAAGATGATGAGGAACAAGTGGAACAAACAGACTCATTATCCCAATCAGCATCTTCTAGTCCTGGGGCTGATGGTGTTTTTCGTGGGGTCTGGCCGTTAGGTGAGGGGGCAGACCCAGAGTAAGAGCGAGACCTAGGGAACCCACGTGACCCATGGGATCTATGATGACGCTGGCGACTGGGCGCTGCACCTGCAACTGGTGCAACTTCCAAGGCTGTAGGTGCTGACCCTGAGGATGAAGATGAGGAGGATGAGTCACGAGGATCACGAGATGGATCCTGTCGACTTGCAGCATCTCCAACTTGTGCTGGGTCAAACCTCACTGAGCGGTTGTGTCTGTCTTTTTGGCGAGAAGAGAGGGAGCTTTTTCTTGGTGCTCCAGGTGTTGGGGTATTGGTAGGTGATGTGGAGGCAGATGATTCACCATGCTGGCTCAAGTCTGGCATGGAAGCATGTGCAGGAGAAGCTCGTCCCCTTGTGGCCTCTTCAGAAGCCAAAAGTGCTTCCAAATTTAGGTCAGACATTGCAGATAAATCCAATGGTTGTCGACGAGCAGCATTTGATAATACATCTGAGTTCTGCAGCAGAGATTCTAGTGTTCCTGGCGCACTTGTGGCAGCAACCTCTCGTAATAAATTGATTCCCTGCTCAGCAAGAATACGACCAAGAGAACGCTCAAGCACCAAACGATCTAAACCAGCTCCCACTAGTTCAACTCCACGCTGTACTGCTTTCTCCGGTGGTATAGTGTCCCCATCCTCGCCAGTTGGTGTGGATGTGAGAAGTTGCTTTTGCTGGGCTGGGGGTGAGTGAGGACTTGTCTGACAGGATGAGGATACCGTGCTTCCATCTGTTCCTCGGAAATCCAATGCTCGTCTTCCCATCTTTGGAGACTGCTGAAGTTGCAAGGCCTTGCGACCCATCTTAGGGGAACGCATTAAAGGATTTGGCTGGCCTTGTCCTCTAATCTCTTCACTGCTTACAGCTGCCACAGAGCGATGGCCAGGCCTGGGTGAACCAATTTCCGAGGCAGCACGTGAACCTCCCATCTCAGATGGGCCATGGGAGGAACCAGCTTCTGAGAGATTGTGAGGCAAATCCATTGGGTGTCTGAGTGGGTCTTGTCTCGAAGACTGTGCAGACTGTTGACGTGGAGATCGCGGAGAACGTGGGGATATAGGAGATGCAACAATTTCACCAGGTCGATGCTGTACCGAATTCTCTGCCGATGCCATGGACATGGGTGAGCGTGGACTAGAGATATAAGGTGCAGATATGTGAGCATTTGGTTGAGTCATGCCATGGATGCCTGACATGGATGGTTCCCTAGAGAGTGCAGGAGCGTTCCGTGGTCTCTGTAGATCACGAATTTGAAATGAACTTTCTCTGGTAACTCGGGGCTGAGGACCTATAGCATTGGACGGCTTTCTGCTAAGGTGGGGTGACCGGGGGCTGGTTGCGTCAGAGCTCTCCACCGGGTTCTCCATCAGCGGGGAGGTGGCCAAGGCCCGCCGTCGCATTTTGGGCGACTTGGACACCACCTGTATGTCAGGCAGTGGTGACTTAATTCCTTTGCGTCCAGGCAATGGTGAAGTAGCATCACTCTGATCAGAGGTTGAGTCTTGACTTACATGCTTGGTCGGAGGCCGGGTGGTGCGAGGCGATGTTAACGTAGAGTCAGAGGCATCATAGGACAAAGAAGATCGTCGTTCCAGGCCATTGGTTTGTCTGGGTTGCTGTAGGGGCGCCTGAGGACCGACGGGTGTGTTGGCATTACTGTCAGAGGGTGTGGGAGGCTCGCCCTTACTACAGGCAATAGAACAGAAGATGGCCCCTCTCCGAGGTAAGAAGGGCCGGCCCAGGAGGGAGGCGTGACATGTGTGGCAGCAGAAACACTCCTCAGTGGCGTGCCAGTGTTGTCCTTCGTGTGTCATTTGACCTGTAAGAAAATTAAAATATAAATCTTTATGCCAATATTGACTCGATAGTTGGTAAAATGTTTTACATTCTCTTTTGTACAACAGAGTTTTATATTACTGGTGTACTCAATACGTCTGAAGACAGCAATCATTTACATGCATCAAGGGCCATAATTATGACAACAAGTAATAATGTACAGCAATATTGTACCAGCAGTTTAACACTATACACTACCTTATATGGATGTCGACCAAAAAATGTGAATAATGAACGAGGATGAAAACTGTCTTGCCATTGACCACAAAGTTTTCTTTAACATATAATCGACTTAATCTTACGCCTTACTTCCGTACATCAACTTCACAAAACATTTATTCTATAACTCACTCATTCCCTCCCTCTCTCCTTAGTCTCTACCAACTTCTCTTCCTTCTCCCTTCACTTATTCATTCCCTCACAGCCTCCCTTACTCACCCTCCCTCCCTCCCACCATTACTAAAGCGCACGCACGCACGCACGCACGCACGCACGCACACACACACCTACCTTGGTCCACACCGATGGGTTCCCCGCAGGTATCGCAGTACTCGGCGAACATGGCGTCGAAGCAGTGGAGGCAGAAGGGTCGACCATCCCTCATAATGTATCTTTGACCGCCGAGCTGACGGTCACACTCGAAGCAGGCGAAGTGTTTCATGTGCCACGCTCGACCCTCTGCCTCGGTACACTCGTCAGCCAGGATGATCTGTAATACAATGAAGGTGTTTGAGGTATAGTTATGTTTATTAGAAGAGATATTTAACAGGTATAGGAGTATTTTTAGCATTGAGATACGAAAGGTGATTTAGGTGTAAAGGCGATGAGAGAGAGAGAGAGAGAGAGAGAGAGAGAGAGAGAGAGAGAGTTACTGACAGGAAAACAGACCATTAAGAATATAATTTAAAGAAACTTCACCAAACATTTCTTTAAGTTCGGCGTTAAAACCACAACAAAAATGAGGATAATTTAATGCTGTCATTCTAACCGGGTCTCGCCTCTATTCCTGGTACCTTCGTCTCTTCCTTCATTTATCACCATCTCTTCCTATTCTTTCCTTTCTTCTTTCCTTTTACTTAACCCCATCTTTACGTGACACCAAGATTCTAAATTATTTCTACGTCTCCTACATCTTCTTTCATCTTCTCTCTCCCCCTACCACACTACCGTTTCCCCCTCTCTCTCCCCTACCACAGTTCCGTCTCCCCCTCTCCCCCTACCACACTACCTTTCTCTCTCTCTCCCCCTACCCACACTACCAATCTCCCTCTCTCTCCCCCTACCCACACTACCTCCCTCTCCCCCTACCACACTACCGTTTCCCTCTCTCCCCCTACCACACTACCGTTTCCCCCTCTCTCTCCCCTCTACCGTTTCTCCCTCTCTCTCCCCTACCACACTACCGTCTCCCTCTCCTACCACACTACCGTCTCCCCTCTCCCTCCCCACTACCGTCTCCCCCTCTCCCTCTCCTACCACACTACCGTTCTCCCTCTCTCTCCCCTACCACACTACCATCTCCCCTCTCCCCTACCACACTACCGCCTCCCCTCCCTCCCCTACCACATTGCCGCCTTCCCTCTTCCTTATCACAGTACTAATACGTTCCCCTACCTCATCATCACCTTTCCCTATCCACACTACCAACGTCGGCCCTCCGCAGCACGTGAGAGGCTAGCCCTGAACTTGTTTACCGAAGCGCGATTCCTGAGAGGTTGGTGTTGATTATCTCATTATTGTTAACGACCGCCATAACCCCCCCTCACACGCCCGTCCAGGGACACACGCCTGATAACACGCCCGTCCAGAGACCACGCCTCATAACACGCCCATCCAGGGACACACGACTCATAACACGCCCGTCCAAGGACACACGCCTGCCTTCACTAGATGATCATCCCGGTAGTTAATATATGTGATTTTTTCTTCAGACATCCACACGACGCATAAACTTATTTACCCTCTACACCAATGACGTCTACGAAAACAAATTTCTATCAATATTAGCGAACACCAGGCAGACCTATACAGCATAAAGGTATAATATATGCAACAAATAAAATGACAAGTATCTACAGTTACACTAATTGGCGACATCTCTTTTTTTCACATTTTCAGTAACTTTATTCTCGACTTCCCACAGATTTTCACTAAAATTCAATATCTGGCTGTCAGCTGTCAGCGGTGACAATATCATATATATCGGTTTTTATTTTAATATGGACGCTGAAACGGCAACTGACAGACACACAAACCCACACACTGAATTGATCAATAGGAGTTAATGTTCCAGTAGATTTCAATAACTCACAAAAGTTATAAAAAAAAAGTCCAACTTTTTCTCAAGAAGGTAAAATCGTTGAACCAAAACCAAACTAAATAAAAGACCACGTCGACCCCAAAACCCCGTCGACCCCAAAACCCCGTCGACCCCAAGACTCCCGTCGACCCCAAGACCCCGTCGACCCCAAAACCCCCGTCGAACCCCAAGACCCCCGTCGAACCCCAAGACCCCGTCGAACCCCAAGACCCCGTCGAACCCCAAGACCCCGTCGAACCCCAAGATTACAATCCCGAACCCCCAAGACTCCCGTCGACCCCAAGACTCCCGTCGAACCCCCAAGACCCCCGTCGAACCCCAAGACCCCCGTCGACCCCCAAGACCCACGTCGACCCCAAGACCCCCGTCGAACCCCAAGACCCTGTCGACCCCAAGACCCCAAATCGACCCCAAGACCCCCGTCGATCCCAAGACCCAGAAGGAGGAGGGAGGTTGACGATGTTGAGCCGCTGACAACTAGGGCCCGCCACAGTCTGTGATTAAATGAACAGGCCACCCGTCCGCGTGATGACTGGGGGTATAATCTCCTCAGTTACAGGATTACAACTCTTTGATTCCTCACCCACTTCACTGTATATGGGAGGCTGGGGTGGAGGGAGGCTGGTGGGAGGGAGGCTGAGGAGGAGGGGAGGCTGAGGAGGGAGGGAGGCTGAGGAGATGAGGGGCTGAGAGGTAGGGGGCTGAGGAGGTGCAGGGGCTGAGGGAGGAGGAGGAGGCTGGGGTGGTAGGGAGGAGGTTGGGGAGGGAGGAGTGAGGAAGTGGGGACAGTGGGGTGGAGGGAGAGAGGTGGGGGAGGAGGTGGTGGAAGAAGAGGAGTGTAGTGTGGATGTGAAGATGAAGTGTGGAATCAGTGGAGAGTAAAGATAGGGAGAGGCAGAGAGGAAAAAATGGATAAAGAGAGAGAGGCGATACCTGGGAACAGAAGGATTTATGTGACGTTATATGGATTAAATGAGACTTAGGACGAGGGAGAGAAAAAAATAAAATGTTGGGAAAGAAAGATAAAGTTTGGGGAGAAAAATATATATTAGGGAGAAAGATTCGAATACTAGGGGAAAAAGAGGAGAGAAAGAAATATCTATGGAAAAAACTGGAAAAAAAAGGAACATCCAGGGAAAAAAGAGAACATCTAGGGGGAAAACAGGAGAAAAGGGAAAATCTAGGGAAAAAAGGAGAAAAAGGAACATCTAGGGGAAAAAGAAGACAGGAACGTCTATGGGGGGAAAGAGGAAGAGGAACATCTAGGGAAAAAAGAAGCAAGAAACGAACATCAAGGGAAAACCCAGAAAGAAACGGCTATAAAGTCCATTTCTGGTTACGGACAGAAACAAAAGAGAAGCAGGAATAATGAAAACAACAAGACAGATTAAGTATGAGAGACAAGAGGTGTTTAATTAACAGGTGAAATAAACTGAGGTTCCTAATCTTCATGTGACCCGAGTATGAGAACCAGTGTGATGACGACTACCTCAGTATAGTGATTTAGTGGTCCAGGTAAGTAAGTAAGTAGTTGGTTGAGGTAGTGTAAGTGGCTGAGTGAGTAGTAGAGGTGAGGAAATAGTAGAGTAGAGGTAAGTAAGTGGTTGAGTAGAGGTAGAGAAAGTGGTAGAGTAGAGGTAGAGAAAGTGGTAGAGTAGAGGTAGAGTAAGTGGTAGAGTAGAGGTAGAGAAAGTGGTAGAGTAGAGGTAGAGTAAGTGGTAGAGTAGAGGTAGAGTAAGTGGCAGGTTTCCAAGTAAAATTACAACAGATGGTGAGGAAAGTAAGAGAGATAGCGGAGGCGTATGAATATGAAGGAAGGACCCAAAGGGGGTGTGTGGTGAGGGTGTGGTGGTGGGGTGTGTGGGGGTGCAGGGTGTGTGGTGAGGGGGTGTGGTGGGGAGGGTGTGTGGGGTGGGGGTGTGTGTGGTGGGGAGGGGGTGTGTGTGTGGTGGGGGAAGGGGGTGTGTGGTGGGGGAGGGGGGTGTGTGTGGTGAGGGGGTGTGTGGTGGGGGGGTGTGTGGTGAGGGGTGTGGTGGGGAGAGGGGTGTGTTGGGATTGGGGGTGGGGTGGGGGGGTGTGTGGGGAGTGGGAGGAGTTGTGATCACTAGGTATTGTGGTGGTCGTCTCAGTGTCGGTAGGTGGTTGGTGGGGAGTTCCTGTATGTATAGGTGGGTGGTGGAGGTGTCCATGTGTATGCAGGTGGGTACAGGTGAATCGAAAGGGACTGGAGAAGGGTTAAATGGAAGGGTGGATGGATTGAAGGTTCTAAGTACACACAACAGTAGTAAAATTGTCAATGTTAAGTGACGTCGAACACCCAAGACGTGATAACCAGGTACAGTAGAGGGGCGTCAGAGGTGGTGGTGTTAGTGGTGATGACTTTAGTACAGCACATGGGGCCCCCTAAGGACTGTGTACAATTTACGGCTAACAAAGAGCTCTGTAATCCTCCCCTCCTTCACCCCCATACTTCCTTCTCCGACCCCTCCACCCGTCTCCCCTACCTCCTTCTCCGACCCCTCCACCCGTCTCCCCATACTTCCTTCTCCGACCCCTCCACCCGTCTCCCCTACCTCCTTCTCCGACCCCTCCACCCGTCTCCCCTACCTCCTTCTCCGACCCCTCCACCCGTCTCCCCTACCTCCTTCGACCCCCCACCCTCTCTCCCTTACTTCCTCCCCCTTACTAATTAAGAGAAACATCCTTTACCCCTAGCACGTAGGTCTTCAATCAACCAGCCTCTCCTCACTCTGGCAAGTTACTACGTTTACTTAGGGGGGAGACAGTCCTCATACACTGCCATCCTCTCACACCGACACAGATAAATTGTGATCTCTGTTCTGATCCAATTACTATAATTTCCAAACTAATTCTTATATATTTTCCACTTTATAAAATATTCCAGGTTATTAAAGTGAGATCCATAATATCACTTAACTTCCTTGTAATTCTAAATCATTTCATATTCTTTGAGTTGTAACTTTTACTTTTTTCCTAATCCGAGTGGACCATTACCGAAGTTTCCCCCGCCCTAGCCAGACTCATTAGAGAAAACGGGTCTCCAGGGAGGACTCATAATAACGGAGTGGTGGCCAAGTGCGCTCTGAGCAACTCACCAGCCTCCTAATTTGTCTCTCAACTTCATATTTTAGCTGAACAGTTTTATTTCAGAATATAAAACTCTGAATATTTTCCATTCGGTATAAAAAATTGAATCTTGTCCGGTAAACACTGCGAAACACGAACCATTAAGAAATAAAAGTTAAATGGTAAACTCCCTCGACTTGTGTAACACTGTCAATGTTTTTTTTTTATTTAAAGATGCAATTAATATTTAAATCACACATTTCTTCATTAAATTATACAACGGGATACACGCGGATATAGAAAATTCCTCTATAATTAAAACATTGACAAAATAAAGGTTAAGAGACTATTTACAATTTAATATATCAATTACTAATATTAATGGAAAAGATAATGACAATGAACGGATATTATTTTAACAATGGTGGATATAACCTTGACAGTAGTCACACTCAACCTAACCTAAACAAACCAAACCTAACCTAACCTATCTAGCATAACACTTGGTACCTCTGTTATGTTAAATGGGTGAGATACTAGAGTTAATTATCATCTAACACCGAATTTTTTCATGAGGTGAGGTGAATGAGAATCACCTCTTATAGCCAATAACTGAACAGTACTTTGGCCAGTCTCTTGAGTTAATAACCATCTATGATAGAACTTTAATTTCTTCTCTTACTTGGAGCGATAAGACTAAAAAATCCCCGCCTCGGTCACTGGGCATTCTGAATTACTACACTACGAAACCAACGACTCACCTCGTCACAAGCAGCACAGCGGGGTTTGAGGGACTCTGCGTGATGCCTGCCGCAGTAGAGGTGTGCGTCCTTCCAGAAGTAGATGAGATCGACGAGGAGCTCCCGGCAGACGTGGCAGTTGAAGCAGGCCGGGTGCCAGCAGGCGTTAGGTCCTGCCCTCGCTGCCACTACCACAATGTCTCCGCCACTCACGCCCTCCCCACACTGTAAAAAATAAACACGTGTTAGTTATGTTTTGGGTTCCTACACTCTCAATCATCAAAATGGCCGGACACAACACCCTAATACTGCAATGACAAAGTACATATTTATTCTTGGATATATTATTACCTGTTAGTTATGCTGTGTCGCCAAGGTTCATACCCTCACTGTATCAGGCAGTCTTATGAAAGTCCATCATCCATTACATGTTAAATTTAATATACACAAAATACTCCGATCAGTCTCATTCACGGTGTATACTGCCTAATGACTGATGACTAATTATTGATTCACTTAATTCTTGAAGATCATAGCAAGTATCATTAAGGAATAAGGTTTTGGCATCGACCGCTATCTTAAGACAATTTTCACACCTAACAATTTCACTTTAGTTCGTCTCTTGGTGCTTGTGCTTAAAACAACTCAGATTATTAACTCGTAACGTATTCAAATTTGGGGTTTAGATTCACACTCATATCACGCAGGGATCCTAAACTCACAAGGCAAACTTTTAAACTTGGTTCCTCGTCTCACAAGAACTTCACACTGAGTCCAATTTCCACATAAACTTCACGCTGGGATCTTAAACTCACGAGAACTTTATAGTAGACTCCAAGACTCATAAGAACCTCACGTTAGTCTTCAAGAGTCACTGGTGGGTCTGGGTGGGTTACTAAGCGCACGAACAGAGGAAACACCAGAGGTCTGTGTTGCACTCCTGACACTGCACAGCCTACATCCACAAGCTGACTCTGGGTGACTGGTAGACTTGTGGTCAGTGATGGCTGTGGTTACTTCTACGGCCTGCCACTCGTCAAGGGAAAGCTAATGTGCTGTGTTTAGCTTTCTGTCAAAATCTCATGTCCGCCGGGGGACGTTGAATGAGTTCAATAGTTATTTCAGAACAAAAAACTTTGGAATTTTATATATATACTTGTATGGCATTAAAAATATTACCAAAAATATTATATGTAATAATTTATCGCAGTTTGTTTAATTATTGTGATCAACTAATTTTTTGGGTGTACTGTACAGTTTCTTGAATAATTACGAGTATTTACTCCCGTGTAAAGAGAAGATGAGGTACAGTAGTTTTGTAAACATCTGTACTACGTCACAGACACCTGGCCAGATCACCTGTATCGGTAAACATTGCACACTATATAAATGTTATGGTTAAGGTAAATGCAACACTTCATAATTCTTCCAGGACTTAAAAAAAGTTTTATTTAAATGACTCTAAACTTTCGACAAACCTACAATAGCTGTTTTTCCCAGACAGCACTGTACATTGTCCTAACTCGAGGCGGAAGATGCAGAAAACTGAGGAAGTGTTGAGCTAATGGCCGGAGTCGATACTTCATATATGACCTATTATTGTACCCCACACCACTTCACTAATATTAACCATCAGTCCATAAATGACAAAATTACGTTGTCTCATTCACTATCTTTGTACTGACAATAAACTACTTCCTCGTCAAAACACTCCTTCAAAGGTTAAATCAAGTACGAATAATATTATATAATGTCTTCTACCGGGGTCACGACACTCATCAGTATGTGTTCTTTACCATTAGTCTGACACAGTATATATGTAGGTATGTTGTCAACGAGTTCTTACCGCCAGGAGGACAATTTCCTTTAAGAACTGTGGGACCAGAACGTGGCGGTGACTTCAAAGGGTTCGTGTATTATTGTTTTACATTATTGTTCATTAGATTCTTCGTATGTCGCTACCATGACCCGACCTGACCTTAGATCTTTATCGTATATTTCACCTGTAGTTTGTCCAGGTCAGTCACCCTTATCTCTAACTTTGAATAAGACTTATTTCAGAAACGAGTGTGAAGCTCTAAACCTGGACTCTGGACCCCGTAGGCACACTTGCACACTCCATGGACCCGACCACTGGCCATCTCCCAACACTCCCCCACCACCCTCCCACGGGACACCAAACTCTGGGGGGTGGGGGGTGGGGGCAGCAAGGACTCCCCCCCCCCCTCCCCCCAACTTATACTTTCATGACTGAGTATTTGTCTCCCTGACGGACACTCTGAGTGATCACCTCTGAGGCCCCACCACGAATATATTACAATTACCTGCATATTTTTCCCCACGACCAACCAGGATGAAAGTCTGTGTTTACTGCCAGTCAAAACAACTTATTTTTTATTGTTGACATACGTAGCTATTCATTTTTTGTTATACACTAATTCATTTATTCACTATTTATTTTAACCAGAACTTTATTACAATTGCTCAGACCAGTAATTATTATTATTATTATTATTCGAATTTTATTAATTTTTTTTAAAGTTTTTGCACTATTATCATTCTTACCATTATTTATTGTATTATTACTATCCATATTGTTCTTGTTACGTATATTTCACTTTCATCTCGTAATGGCCTGGTGTCTACTGAGAAAACCAATTTATCACAAGAGAATATTTCTGCTGGGCTGGTCGTCCATATTCCTGATGATCTGGGGAGTGTGGGGGATGTGTCTGGGGTGGGTGAAGTGTGTGTGTGGGGTGATTGGAGACGGGGAGAAGATGGGGTGTGTGGCGGGGAGGGTGGGGAGTAGAGGGGGTGAGGGGTGTTTGAAGGATAATGGGGGATGTTATATATGGTAATCTAAGCGAGTGATTGTGACGGGTTGGTGGTGGTGGTGGTAGAGATAGGTGGTAGTGGTAGGGGTAGGGGTAGGTGGTAGTGGAGGGAGGGACAGGCCAAAGCTCTTGATTGGTGCACGATAAGGTAAAGCAAGTTGCTCTTCGCTGATTGGCTGGTTGGCTAACTGACTGAGTGAAGAGGGTCATTTTATTTTATTATTTTTTCGGCTTGTTTAATCTTATTCATCTTTATTCATTCCTATCGATGAGTTATATCTTCTATTTGTTATTGTTCCTTCATCCGTTATTTATTTATTTATTTATTTATTCATTCGTTATTTATTCATTTGTATGTGTTCTTAAATTTGTGATTCTAATTCATTTTTTCGTCTGTTATTTGTACTAGGGAAAGAAAGACCCTGTAACGAGGGAAATAAAAACCCCGTAGCTCCGGAAAAAAGACACCGTAAATAGGGAAAGAAAGACCCTATAACTAGACCAATAAAGACCCCATAACTAGACCAATTAAGACCCAGGCAACTAGACAAAGACCCCTCCTCTTCCCCACTCCGCCCACCAGTTGGAAGGTTTAGCGAGCTGTAGAGAAGGAAGGAAGGAAGGAAGGAAAGAAGGAAGGAAGGAAGGAAGGAAGGAAGGAAGGGAGGAAGGAAGGAAGGGAGGGAGGGAGGGAGGGAGAGAGGGAGGGAGGGAGGGAGGAAGGAAGGAAGGAAGGAAGGAAGGAAATACTCACGTTAGCGCAGGTCATGGTAGAATGAAGGTTGACTGGTAGCTGCTTGACTGATCCTCTCCCCAGCGATTCCCTCTTCCGCTGCGCTGAGAATAACCGCAGCTCCTTCTTCTCTTCGTCGCTGAGACCATTACAGTACCGCACCTGAGAAGATATGGTTGCGGTTACTAATTCACTCAAGACGATAGTAACGAGTGCTTCATGTATTTTATATGTTAATACAGTAAGAATTCAGAGTGTATTATCCTATTGTATTATGATGTATTTTATATGTTAATACAGTAAGAATTCAAAGTGTATTTTCCTATTGTATTATGCTGTATTTTTTAACCTGAGAACAACAGTAAATTAATGACATCACATTACATTACCTGTTCTAAGTCACATTACATCACATCACATCACATCACATTACCTGTTCTAAGTCACATTACATCACATCACATCACATTACTAGTAGTTCTAAGTCACCTCACATCACCTACAACTGGGCAACCAATTAGCGTGACCTGACATTCCTTTCACACGATCACTAGGGCACAATACGTCATAACTCACTAATACGCCACTCAGCTGTGTGTGTGTGTGGGGGGGTGTGTGTGTGTGGGGTGTGTGTGTGTGGGGTGTGTGTGTGTGGGGTGTGTGTGTGTGTGTGTGTGTGTTGCTTTAAGGGAGTACACAGCCCTAACTTGTTTATATATGCAGAAACACCAAAACCTCTCAGTGGCAGATCATTCACAGTGACAGATCATTCATAGTGACAGATCATTCATAGTGGCAGATCATTCTCAGTGGCAGATCATTCATAGTGACAGATCATTCATAGTGGCAGATCATTCTCAGTGGCAGATCATTCTCAGTGACAGATCATTCTCAGTGGCAGATCATTCTCAGTGGCAGATCATTCAGTGGCAGATCATTCACAGTGACAGTGGCAGATCATTCACAGTGGCAGATCATTCACAGTGACAGATCATTTACAGTGGCAGCTCATTCACAGTGGCAGATCATTCACAATGACAGATCATTCACAGTGGCAGATCATTCACAGTGGCAGATCATTCACAGTGACCGATCATTCACAGCGACAGACCATTCACAGCGACAGATCATTCACAGTGACAGAACATTCAGTTAGAATTTGAAGTAACAAGATACACTCAACCCGATTTGACTTAGGTGTAAGTATATCGCCGTGAAGTGGGTCGGGAGTGTGTGTAACTGAATTAGAAGCACCGAGGGCGTGTGTGAGTGTTGACCTTGGTATGATGGGGTCACGCCCTTTGACCTGTGTGACGTGTGATCATAGGTACACCTTTGTAGACGCCGTGATGTGTTGTGAGTGTGTGTGCGTGAGAGAGAGAGAATAGGGAAACAAAGATGACAGTAATCTACACACACACACACACATGACTACTGACACACTACACACACACTGGTGCTACTGTTCCTGCTGGTGCACTGACTGGTGCTACACACACTGGTGCTACTGTTCCACTGGTGCTACTGTTCCCACTGGTGCTACTGTTCCCACTGGTGCTACTGTTCCCGCTGGTGCTACTGTTCCCACTCGTGCTACTGTTCCCACTCGTGCTACTGTTCCCACTCGTGCTACTGTTCCTGCTGGTGCTTCTGTTCCCACTCGTGCTACTGTTCCTGCTGGTGCTACTGTTCCCACTGGTGCTACTGTTCCCGCTGGTGCTACTGTTCCCACTGGTGCTACTGTTCCTGGTGTTCCACTGTTCCCCATTGTGGGTCTTCACTGTTTACTGTTTACTGTTCCTGCTGGTGCTACTGTTCCTCACTGGTGCTACTGTGTTCCCCACTGGTGCTACTGTTCCCACTGGTGCTACTGTTCCACTGGTGCTACTGTTCCCACTGGTGCTACTGTTCCCACTGGTGCTACTGTTCCCACTGGTGCTACTGTTCCCACTGGTGCTACTGTTCCCACTGGTGCTACTGTTCCTTACGTTAGTGTTTATAACTCAATCACTAGCAATATCTCAACACAACTTCCTATACTTATAAAACAACTTAAAATAATAACAGTTAAGATAAGAGAGGAAGCTTGACAATAAGTACCATACCTTTACTTATAACACCATTACACCTTTATACTCGTAAATTCACTTAAAACTTATACTTATCCCGTACCATCGTGAGCACCACACATTCTACTAATCTACTTAAATACTATTAATAATACACTAACTACCTATAACTACTTGTAAATAATCCCTTCATAGCTGAAATGCGTCATAAATCACCTTTCATAACTATAAGCACCACAATCGATACTGTTACGGGTTATTATAGGGTGAGGATCCATTGTAGAGAGTTGAGAACCTTTTCCATGAGGGTTAAAAGCCATATAAGTAGGGTTAAAAACCTTCTATTTACGTGATATTAACTATATAGATGGTGTGATGTAGGTGGAAGATGATGATAGGTTATGTAGGTGTGCTATGAGGGAGTGTGAGGGATGATGAAGGAGTATGAAGGAGTATGAGGGAGTATGAGGAAGTGTGAATGACATGGTGAGGTATAATAAAAACATAAACAGAACAAGGTGGCAGGAAGACACGCAAGACCCACCTCATTATCATGCGGGGGAAGCTGATGGAGGAGCTGTTTGATCCTGTACTTCTCACCCACCGAGTTAACATAAGGCACCTTGTCCTCCGGTAGAGCAGAGAAGTAGAGATGAACCTATAGGACAAAAAAATATATCCACGTTTAGAGATTTCCTTCAGCAATACAAGATTCAGCTATAAAGTAAATGATAAAAGATGAAATTCTATCTCCTGTGTTGATGGTCAGAGTGTGAATTCGAGGGAAACTTGGAATATTTAGATGGGAAACTCAGGAAAGATGAAATACACACTTACTAGGTAGTATCTTGTTACCTGTACGTGAAGGATACACCTGTAAGGACAAGATATACACCCTCATACGAGAAGACAATACAGATTTATACACTCTAATAGCAACCAGCCTAGTAAACATACACAGTTATGCACTCTTAATCATTAATGTTAGAGGCTACAAATCATTCTCACTTTAATTAAATACAATAATGCGGTCTCGTGGCACAACAAAAACACACACTAATCTCACACTACAATATATTAAACACATATTAATTTAATGACTGCAAATGCCACACTTATCAAACTTACACAACAGTACACTTGTAAATGGGTCTATTATGATAATTATGATATCTAAGACAAAAAATGGCAGACAGATATCAGTCTCGGCATTTAGGATAACAACAATCAAATTTTAAATACACACACGACTGGTTTTATATTAATATTGTAGAGTTTGTGTAATATTTTTGTTTTGGTTTTCACGACTATGACAGAAAACGGAGACTAAATGTATAATAGAAAACGGGTAAAATAAGGAACAGAAAACGAGATTGAGTAGTAAAATTTCCTTACCTACAACTACACTCTTTCTTACCTTCCTTTCCTCTTCCCCCCTTTCTTCTTTTCCTTCTCCCTTTCTTCTTTTCCGTCTCCCTTCTTTTTCTTTCCTCTTCCTCCCTTCCTTCTTTTTCCCCCTAAAACCTCTCTCCATTTTCCTCCCACCCTTTTCATTTTCTCTTCCTCTCCTTCATCCTCTCCCTTTCCCTCTTCCTCCCTCACTCACCATCCCTCCCACATTCTTTTATAATCAAATCTATAGCTGAATTTTTTTTTTATTCACATTCTACTGAACATCCCTTTATCCTCTACCCGGTCGATGCACTTGTCTTATTTTCTGTCCTCCGGTTCAGGTTTCCAGTATATCCGTTTAAAATTGCTATTCATTTTCCTTCAATTAGATTCCGGTTTTTACATTAGTTTCTCTCTTGTTTTCGATCTTCATTTGTCTTTTTTTCGTTGTTTTCAATTTAAGATTTTTAACGAAGCCCGTGTTGACGTTAGTGCTCGAGGATTCTGGACGCGGGGACAGCAAGCCTTCTTCGACATCAGGATTTTTGGTCCCATGGCCACATGTCACCGTAACCTAGCTCTCGATGCTGCACATAGGAGGAACGAGAACGACAAGAGAAGGGCATATGGGGCGAGAATTCAAAACGTTGATCAAGGCAGCTTCACTCCTCTAGTGTTCACAACCTCTGGTGGGATGGGCCCAAGTGCAAGATGTTTCTACGCCAGACTCAGACTGTTTATGCTACAGCCTGATGAGATGTCGACTCAGGGGAACGAGAGCTTCTGCCCCAACTCCGACAACTGCTGCAGATATTGACTATGAGGCTACTGTTACTGAATGCCGCATAGATCTGCGGCTCAACTAATTTAACACAGATAGGATAGCTACTTATGTATTAGGATATTTAATATTAAGGTAATTAAATGGTGGCGAAGGTGTGGCTATTGGGGGAGGCTGGAGGCCACGTTAAAAAAAAGAAAAAAGAAAAAAAAAGTAGTAGTAGTAGTAGTACCGACAGAGGGGTTCATCGGCAACTCCTCCCCGCCATCCCTCCCCTTAAGAGCGCCGTGTCCAAACATCCCCACACCTGTACTGAGCCGGTCTAGCAACTTATTGTCTAGTTAATTACCTGTGTTGTCCTGTGGAGGGTCCCTGAGGCGCTGTGGTGGTGGGGGAGGAAGAGGGAGGCTCCGACAGACACCCCAGATGATAGATGTGTCCCAAGGATTGATTAGGACTAGTCGGTGTTGTGATGGGCCCTGCATGATCTGAGAGCCTGATGTAGTAGTAGTAGCCTGATGCACTGGTACGACTTGAATCAAAAGTCCTGATTGATTTGAGAGGTCTGAATGTATCGGAAAGCCTCGCCGCTGCTAGTTAATTGAAAGCCTGATTAATATGAATGCCGGATTGAATTGAAAGTCTGATTTATTGAACACCGTGATTGATTTGACAGCCAGATTTATTGGGAAGCCTTATTTACTGAAACGTAACATTTAATTGAAAGTTCGATTGATTGACAGCCGGATTATTTGAAAGCCTGATTCCTTTTTAAGCCAGATTGACTAAACAACACAAAAGTATGAGAGGTGAGGAATGTTACTGATAGAATGTTAAGTTAGAATGACAAGTAAGTTTTATTGATCTTAGGACCAGTCTTTTCTTCACTTGAGAGTAGCAGTGAAGCGGTTAATATTTTCCTGACAGCTTCAACAACATGACATCGAAAGTAATTATATTTTGGTGATTTCTATCTGGATAAAACTCAACTATTTACACATTATTTTTTATTTTTTTTTGTGTCAACGAACTCAAAAATATATAATAATAACTATAAATGTATTTTGAGAATAATTAGGCCATTGTGAATGTTACTTTGTTTACAAAAAAAAATACCCATCTGTACTTTTTAATAAATATTGACTAAAAAACCAAGAAAAGTTTTGAAAATTTAATTGAATCGTTTTTCTCGTCTATTTTACCGTTAGTTCAAATAGATTTTAAAGATAAATAAATTAATTTGAACTATCTTACACATCAGAATCACCCAGTGTGTCTGTAAAAATCGACTACACTCCGCTATACTACACTACACCCCACCCCACTACACTCCACACTATCTTTACACTGCACTACGCTACACTGAATCTCATAAATCAAATTACTTTCAAAAAGATTGATTTATGGCTGACAAAACTCCTTCTCAGTCAATAAATAACAACTCCTTTTGTTTCTCATTATAAAATCGTTTGTTTCTCATTATAAAAGATACATCATATGATCATTTCCTGTTTGATCTTTAATGGTTTGAGAGATAAGGACAAAAAAACAAACATCTCCTCCCCAGTGTATTAATTCAATAACGAAGGTAATTTACGAGGGCATCTAATGAGACTGCCAGTCTTTGTTCCTCAGCTGTTGCAATGTTGATTATCATGATGGTGTGTATGCTCTTCATTAACGGAGGGGGGAAGGAGTAATTTGGTCTTAGTTAGTTAATTTGGTCATCTCGTAGTAGTAGTAGTTGTAATAGTAGTAGTAGTAGTACAGAGGCGTATTACTATAATCATTACTCATTTCTATTTTGTTTTTTCTATTCTTCTGTCAAACACTGAGAGAAGAAGATCAACGACAGACCTCTCTTTCTCACACCGCGACTACGACTGACACACCACAACACTAGGGCGGGAAATAAATACCAGAAAAAAGACGACGAAAAAAAAAACAAGAAAAATTAAACAAAGAAAAAAATCTAATCAAGTTTTAATTGCGTCAAAAACAATTCCAGCCATCATAAAAAACAATAGAATTAATTTCCAGGGTAATTATATTAGGGCGAGAAAGAGTGTCTGAGGGGAGGGAGGTCGGGAACAGCTCGTGGGGTGAAAATCTATAGAAAATAAAAGGAATTCTATACAGTGCAATTCCCTGAGGACAGAACACGGCAACTGGATTAGCTAACTTAATCCCGTCTCTCCCTTCAATGACGTCTATAAACCTCGTCGAGTGCTCAAGAATGGGAAGAATAAGTGCACAAAAATGCGTTACCCTGAAAGGAAGTTTAGGATCAATTGCCTTCCATGTTATTCCAGTTCTTATGGAGTTGGTGCCAATGGTCTATAAAGCTTCCTCTTCCTGCAGGTGCCGTCGGGAGGAGGAAGTGGTGAAGTCTTGATGGATTTGGCTGTAGCGATGGTGCTGAGACAGGTTGAGGAGACGGTGCTGAGGAGACGGTGCTGAGACAGAGAGGTTGAGGAGACGGTGCTGAGACAAAGAGGTTGAGGAGACGTTGCTGAGACACAGAGGTTGAGGAGACGGTGTTGAGACAAAGAGGTTGAGGAGACGTTGCTGAGACACAGAGGTTGAGGAGACGGTGCTGAGACAGAGAGGTTGAGGAGACGGTGCTGAGACAGAGAGGTTGAGGAGACGGTGCTGAGACAGAGAGGTTGAGGAGACAGTGCTGGAGACAGAGGCTGACACAGAGAGGGGCTGAGGATGATTTGGTGCTGAGACAGAGGAGGCTGAGGAGACGGTGCTGAGACAGAGAGACTGGAGGAGACTTGGAAGTGACAGAGAGGTTAAGGAGACGCAGCTAGACAAAGACTGAGAGACTGAGGAACTGAGGAGACATCGCTAAGACTGAGAGGGAAGGGACAAGACCTCATGAACTACGCATACACTTGATGGCTGTCAGGCTGTCTATACTTCCCCCTCCCTCTCTCTTCCTCTTTGTCAGTCTGTCTCTTTCTTTGTCTGTCTACTTCTCGCCTGCTCACTCTCCTTATTATCTCTCTCACCATCTTTGTCAGACTCTCTCTCTCAAAAGCAGGGGAAGGCAACTCTACAGTCTCCCCTCCCCAACAAGCATAACATATAACATAACTTTTATTCATCAGCAAATTAGGGAGGCGGACGAGTCCATTTATCAGAGGCTGGAGGGGAGGAAGGGTCGAGGGGGAACCTGACGACACTTCCAATGACGGCTGTGTAGGGGGCGTGATGGATAGCCTCTTAAAATTATTCACATCTTGTCGAAAATAACATAGATCATCCCAGCCTCGCGTCAACACAGGGGCGGTTACCAGCTTTATATAAACAGAACTTTGTGATATATCTGTTTGGTCCCCCCAAGTCTTCATCCTGCTGTACTGACGATTCATAAAGAAATATTAACAAATATTACATAACTCCAAGAAAAAATGAGATATTTACTGTAAAGAAAACTATCATATTATAATTTTCTGGGTCGTGAACTCCGTAGCTGA